GCCCGGCGAAAGCTGCGGGGCAAAGACGGCGTCGCCCGCGGAATTCCCGCCTGGTGACCCCGGGGGATCACCCGTTGCCGGCCCCCTGCGGTCCTGAGGCGGATGGAGCGGGCAGCGCGGTGCCCAGGAGGGAGACGCCGGGGCGCAGTGAGCGGGCAAGCCCTCCTCGGGAGCCTGCCCCGCGCTCCCGGGTTTGGCTTCGTCCCAGAACGTGAGCAGCTGGGTTGGAAAACCAAGCAGTTCATATTAAACTGGGTGAAGCGACCGCTCCTGACGTCAAGAGGGCTGAGGCGTAAGGCATGGAGGTGAAACAGAGCGATAAAATCCATGCAAATGCAAGCAAATAGGTGCTGAATCCGGCCAGTTGAGTGCATTTTCCCTTGCACGAAATCAAGGCTGGAGGGTGGGCTTGTAACACGTAACATTTGTTGTGTAGGTGGGTCCAAGAGCTGCCCGTGTCCGAGATGGAGCCCCAGCTGTAAGTCGGCTTTAAGCAGGTTGTGACGGCTAAAGAGCCCGGCTCAGATTGCAGAGTTCTTCATCCTGGTCGCAGGAGACAGAAGAGGGGGAAAGAACGACAAGCAGAACCGTTGAGATGTTTGTATAGGAGTGTTTCTCATTATTGTTCTTGTCCTCTGCATCTAATCACTCCGAACAGTCTATTTACAGTCTTGCCTTGTTTCCTGTTGGGTCCCATCCAACCAGCACCCACCTTCCCATTCCACTTGACAGGGCGTTGCAGCTACAACACACACAGGCTGTGGTGGGTGCCCCCTGTACCTTGGCACATTCACCACGGGTGACACCGACAGCCTGCATGGCTCTCGCATCTGTCCTGCCGTGCCGTGCCGTGCCGTGCCTCCCCCTTCTCCCCTGCTCTGCATGGCTGACCCTCTGACTTGTCACCTTGGATGACCCTTCACAACAAGGTCAGCCTTAACGGAGCCCAAAGCTCTTTAGTTTCCCTCTCCACTTGCACTTTTCCCAGTCACCTTCTCCATCTTACTCAGGCTCAAAGGTATGGGGTCGGCGCTGCGTCCTTCCAGCCCTTCACACCGCGCACCCATGCTGTTACAGGCTTGCAGCCTCTCAATCCTTCCTCACCGGTCCCTTTTTGTAGGCAGAATGTGAATCCATCCCCTGTTTGTACCGCTGCCATGCCGCACTCGGAGGCCTTAGGCACAGACAAGGAAGTGCTCAAGAAACTGTTCTTCTTACCGGTGTTCTTCCTAGCAGCTGTCTGTATCAAAGCTCTGCTTGGCAAAACATAAAATCTCCTGTCTTATATTTTCAGTCTTACAGATCCTAGCTCCTAAGATACAAGACTCCTGCCTTAGCTGCACTGTTTGTCAATGCTAAAATAAAGTGGCCTTTCAATCAAACAAAACCAGTTTCATCTAGCAATTAAACTGGTTGTCTGCGTCCCATTGCAGCAAGTGTATATTTTTCATATTTAGTTCTTTATTTTTTTCCTGCTAAAATCAAGGACATTTGAGCAGAGCCCCAATATGTAGTTAATAAAAGCATTAAAACATTTGGCTGTTAGCTGCGTCATCCTTATCAAGAAAAAGTGCAACCAGTGATGGACAAATCAGTGTCTAGAAGATAAGCTGAAAAAGCTCTCGCTAGGTTCTGGTCTTAACAATACCGGTAAAAAAAAAGAAATCTAGCCTCTTTCTTCAGCTTTCCCCAGGATGTGAATTTTATCCCCCTGAGAAATGTGCTGGATTACGCAGGTCTCGCAAATGAAGCGCGAGCTATCTTATCTGCTAGTACAAGCTAAGGAAAATTGGATCAAGAAATTAAAAAAAAAACCCATCCATGCTACTGGGAAGTGACTACACACTTGCTGACGGGGGAGAAAAATTGCTCCTTTCCATTGCAGGGCTGTCTTGAGTGCATGGCTGCCTTTGCCAAAAGGCTCTGCTACGTAGCTAGGCCAGATTTGCAATGGAGTGCCAACGCCTAAAGCAAAAGTCTTAGGGGACCAGTTTCAGATCCTGCAGCAGTTAAACCCTACAGATCTCTGCTCCCTTCAGTGTTGTTAAGACCCGGATCAATTAGGTACGAGGTTAGATACTCCTTTTGAAGTCAAGTCCCTGATTTTCTTGCATAAAGACATTGGGACATTGCTCCATCATTAGGCGCGCAGCCTGGGGGAAGACTTTATTGAAGTTGTGGCATATACAGCAAGAGGCTAAGAATTTCTTTGGGTTTCAAGCTTTCATTAATCCATTTCTTGTTACTGACTCTACCTTCGTTGCACTTTGATTAAATAAACCAAAGGCTGTAAGGATCACCAGGGGTTGAAGGGCTGAGCAAAAACGCTCAGAGATGCGGCTATGCAAGTAAAGCAGGGGGATCTAAGGAGAGGATTTAGTGTCTGTTAGTGTTGGAGCCATAAGGCATGGAGTACAGCCTGCCAAAACCAAGCCACAGGAATGCTCAAACAGGTGTGAGGGAAGACGTGGAGCAGCAGTGGAGTTAACTGTGAAGGAACATGATGTAGATTCAGGAGTACGGCAGAAGGAGAGGGAAAAAAACATAGGACCTCAGTGGTTTAAAAGTGACTACAGGGAAAAGGAATGCAAGATAATGGTCATACTCTGTTAATTATAACTAAAAAAAAATGCGTAACAGCAGTAAAAATTTATATTTTGGCCTGGAAACCTTTAGGAAGGAGAAAAAGGCAATCGTAGCTTTATTTGTTACATCCTGAATCTGGTTTTTCCAGGTTTTGGGAGAAGGAGGAGCTGGTTTCTCTTTAGCCGTATCTGCTCTGCTTCCCCAGAGCGAGCGTTCCCTGTCAGTGCCCGGTGACGAGCAGTGCCAGAGCTGCCTGTTTTTCAAGACAGTGGTGAATCACGCCAGAGCCAGAGGAGCCAACAACAGGGCTGGCATGACACATAGCAGTGGGTTGAAACTGTCATTAGCTTCACCTGGTGTTTCAGGCTCTTGCTTGTTTCCGTAAGCTGAGGGCACACGCTGGGTTTTACCAAAAGGTGTTCTATTCAGAAAATACCGACTGGGGACAGGAGGATTGCCAGGTCATTTCCAGGCACCACCACATCTTCCTCCAACAGCTTGGCACTGCTTTCCTCTCTCTGTAGTGAGCAGACAGCAGAATCTGAAAAAGAAATCTGCCCCTTTTCCCCAAGGCTTCAGTAAAGGTTACAGCTACTGCAGTTGGAGGTGAGGTTCAAACACTGCAGACATTTTAAAGCGATGTAAATCAGTACTATTCCCCTGATAATTCACAATGCTATATCCATGGGCATCACCAAGGATCTTACTCACTTCTATTTGCTGAATCCAATTCTTATGGCATTTACAGATCTCCTCCAGATGTGAACACTTGCCATATAAATATGCAGTCATCCTTATTTCAAACCTGGAAATACAGAAGTGGCATTGTCAAAGCTTCCATATTAAAGCTTGGGGATCAGGAACGATGTATGGAACGGTAGGCAGGAGTGTATTTGGATTTGTTTGCTACATCCAAAGGGAATACACTTTCCTTGTTAAATGCTTTAACTTATGGGGTTAAATACAGTCCCGAGCAAAGAGAAGAAAAAAATGACATACCAGTACTTTAAGGACAACAACCCTAAACTCTAGTGGATACAGTACTGTCAGCACACCAGACTGAAAAACAAAATTCTGCGTATCTAGGACAAGAAGGAAACTGTGCATACAAAGCACCATTCAGGTGGAAATCAAACAAGGCAGGGAAACCGGTCTCCACGTTTTGGTCGCCTGCATGTCAGCATTAATAATAGGATTAATAGTTTAGGGGATTCTTCTGCAGGACAGAACTTCAGCTCCTGCTGCCCCACTCCGTGTTCAGTCTGTTCACCCCTACAGCTGCTACAGCTCTGACTGTTGTCAGCTGCTTTGGTAGTTTTTGCAGTGTGCCCAATTCATATCCCCAAAACTACTGAATGCCCACAGATGGGAATGACAAACTTGACTGAGCCATGACAGACTTGATTTTTATTTTAATGTGAGGGGGAAAAAAAAAATAATCCATAGATCCAAAGAACATTTTAACAGGCCATCAATCCCCAGTGGCCTGGTAGCTGACTGAGAAGTCCCCTGAGGAAACCCCAGCATTGTCATTTTGGC